GCTGTCCTCCTCCTATCCCCAGCAGCTTGTGGGAAGCCGACTTCAGCTGCATGCCACTTTTCCCGGCCGGTCCTGACCCAGGTGGGTCCGTCCCATCCAGAGCAGCATGCAGCTGAAGCCGGCTTCCCACAAGCTGCTGGGGATGGGAGGAGCCCGGCCGGGTCTGCACCGGCCAGCAGAAGCGGCGGTGGAGCCATGTGCTGCTCGGGACGGGACGAGCTCGACTGGAGTGGCAGGGGTTCAGCTGCATTTTCCCCCTGCCTGCACCAGTCAGTCCCGAGTGGCACATGGCTCCACCAATGCTTCTGCTGGCCAGTGCCAACCTGGCCAGGCTCCTCCCATCCCCAGCAGCACGTGGGAATCTGGCTTCAGTTGCATGCTGGTCCAGATGGGACAGATCCGCCCAGGTCGACACCAGCCAGCAGAGGCGGTGGCGGAGCAGTGTGCCACTTGGGACTGACCAGCGCAGGTAGGGGGAAAGTGCAGCCGAGCCCCTGCTGCTCCGGCCGGGCTTGTCCTGTCCTGAGAGGCACAAAGCTACTCCTCTTCCCACACGCACCGCGTCAGCAACGTCAAGCTGACGCAGTGTGTGTGGGAACCTTGTCCCTTCCCCAGCCCTTCAGCAGCCATTAGAAATCTGCTGAGGGCCTGGGGGAGGGACAAGGGGTGGGAACAAAAGTAAACAGAGTTTACTTTAATTTCCTGTTGCAGCACTGCGGGCCGCAGAAAACGGCTTAGCAGGCCACATGGCGGCCCGTGGGTCATATGTTGGACAAGCCTGGTCTAAGCCTATTGCATTCTCTCAGTTGCCTCTGGTATTGACAAGACATCTAAAGACAGTGAGCTAATGAGACAAGGGAAAAATTACTTGTCTGTTATTCTGAATCTCTGAAAATATCATTTGATATAATTCTCACCCCTGGCTCTCAGTTCTTAGCAAAAAAAGTGGGGCAAAAAAAGCAAAGTAGAGCTTCCAAGTTCTCAAAATTGTTAGGTCCCTGATGGGAGTAAAATTGAGACAAAAACAGAAGTTTCCCTTTCTTCCCTCTGACTGTAGGCACTGCCTTTAAACTCAGCCATTTATGTCCCAACTAAGGAGGCAAAACTCCCCCACGCAAAATAATCAATAAAATGTGTCACAACCCAAAGGGTGTGATTTTTGTTTTTGTGTGCTTCAGCACTGCTAAATTGTTCCCGCTAAATTGCAGCTTCTTTGCACGGTGGAGTTTTCTGCTGCAAAAGAAAACCCCGGTGCAAGGGACGAGTTTCCCGCCAATTTGAAGCTTTCTTTGCAAGGTGCATTTCTTTGTTGCAGCACAGAAATGCTCGTTGCAAAGAGTTCCCGCCATTTGTATGCTAATTCGAGTCCCATTATTGGCCAGTTCTAAATTATTCACACGTGGCGGCTAGTGATTGGCTTGCTAGCCGTATAAAAGGCT